AAGAGGAGTGTTGTTAACGCATATGTCGACCGTGCTCTCAGCCACAGCTCAGAATGGAAGCAAGTCGACGAAGAACTCTGTAGGGTAAGGCAGGTCCTAGTCAATAACGGCTTCTCCAATGGTTTCGTCGAAGACATCATAAGAAGGAAAGTGAAAAGCCATGCAACCTCTGAAGAGACAACTAACACAACACCTATACCCCCTATTAGACTATTTTACAGGAACTTCTTTTCCACAGCTCATAAAATGGAGGAAAGGGTCCTGAAAGATATTGTTAATAGAAACGTTATCCCTACAGACAAAAATCAGAGGATACAACTGACGATTTACTATAAAACCAGAAAAATGGCCAGCCTACTCATGAGAAACTCTCCAGACACAAAACAGAACGCTTTAAAAGAGACTAACGTCGTCTATGCCTTCAAATGCCCTCTTGGGGACTGTAAGCTCCAAAAAACCCAGTATATAGGCAAGATAACAACATCTCTTTCTAGGCGATTAACGATGCATAAGCAACAGGGCTCCATTAAGGAACATATAATCTCTTCCCACAACCAAACCATCGCCAGAGAAATCCTAGTAAACAACACAGAAATCATCGATAGATACAGCGATAGCAGGCGGCTTGACGTTTGCGAGGCACTACACATCAAGAAGTCAACACCAGCAATCAACAGCCAATTATTGCACAACTATATTCTACCCACCTCAAGACTCCGCTCCAATATAGAAGCATCAAGAAATATGGACCAATAGGCTTTCTACAAACACTTCTATTCAATACCCATTGTTTGTGTTCTGTCTTGTGTTGATACTTTTAATACCCTATTAATATCCCCTCTTGTTCTGTCTTGTGTTAATGCCACATCACCCCTCCCACCTCACTCAAATGTAGATATAAAATCAGAGATACATAAGTTCTAATCAGTTGTGTATTTGTGAAGTCTTTGAAAATGTAATAAGTTTTACGAAACGCGCCCGTGTCGCGTCAGACTAGAAATAAAAATGAATTTTGGAGAAGTGATTTTTTATTTACCTCCAACAGTGAAGCGTAATGTACGAAAGATTGAGAAAATTCGTGTTAGAATTATTAATCTTACTTTTTCGGTCATATTTAATAATATATGTCTACAGGAAAGACTGCTACCAAAATATACTAATATATATATATATATATGCGAACAAGCCTGAATGGTCCCCAGGACAATATGCAACTGAAAACTCACACCCCAGAAGTGACTCGAACCCATACTCCCAGGAGCAACGCAACTGGTATGTACAAGACGCCTTAATCCACTTGACCATCACGACCGGACATAATGAGGTGATAGCCGAGGTTATTTGAACCACCCCACCGCCGGCACTCGGATAGTAATCTTGGGCATAGCATTTTACCAAATCACCTCATTCTGTTCCTCACGTGTGCCCCAAAGAATGAGGTGATTTGGTAAAATGCTATGCCCAAGATTACTATCCGAGTGCCGGCGGTGGGGTGGTTCAAATAGCCTCGGCTATCACCTCATTATGTCCGGTCGTGATGGTCAAGTGGATTAAGGCGTCTTGTACATACCAGTAGCGTTGCTCCTGGGAGTATGGGTTCGAGTCACTTCTGGGGTGTGAGTTTTCAGTTATATATATATATATATATATATATATATATATATATATATATATATATATATATATATATATATATATATATATATATATATATATATATATATATATACCGTATATATATATATACCATATATATATATATATATATATATATATATATATATATATATATATATATATATATATATATATATATATATATATATATATATATATTAGTATATTTTGGTAGCAGTCTTTCCTGTAGACATATATTATTAAATATGACCGAAAAAGTAAGATTAATAATTCTAACACGAATTTTCTCAATCTTTCGCACATTACGCTTCACTGTTGGAGGTAAATCAAAAATCACTTCTCCAAAATTCATTTTTATTTCTAGTCTGACGCGACACGGGCGCGTTTCGTAAAACTTATTACATTTTCAAAGACTTCACAAATACACAACTGATTAGAACGTATCTCTGATTTTATATCTACATTTGAGTGAGGTGGGAAGGGTGATGTGGCATTAACACAAGACAGAACAGGAGGGGATATTAATAGGGTATTAAAAGTATCAACACAAGACAGAACAGAAACAATGGGTATTGAATAGAAGTGTTTGTAGAAAGCCTATTGGTCCATATTTCTTGATGCTTCTATATTGGAGCGGAGTCTTGAGGTGGGTAGAATATAGTTGTACAATAATTGGCTGTTGATTGCTGGTGTTGACTTCTTGATGTGTAGTGCCTCGCAAACGTCAAGCCGCCTGCTATCGCTGTATCTATCGATGATTTCTGTGTTGTTTACTAGGATTTCTCTGGCGATGGTTTGGTTATGGGAAGAGATTATATGTTCCTTAATGGAGCCCTTTTAATACCCTATTAATATCCCCTCCTGTTCTGTCTTGTGTTAATGCCACATCACCCTTCCCACCTCACTCAAATGTAGATATAAAATCAGAGATACGTTCTAATCAGTTGTGTATTTGTGAAGTCTTTGAAAATGTAATAAGTTTTACGAAACGCGCCCGTGTCGCGTCAGACTAGAAATAAAAATGAATTTTGGAGAAGTGATTTTTGATTTACCTCCAACAGTGAAGCGTAATGTGCGAAAGATTGAGAAAATTCGTGTTAGAATTATTAATCTTACTTTTTCGGTCATATTTAATAATATATATATATATACACACAGTATATACAGTATATACATACATACATACAATGGTATGGTGCCTCAGTTTAAAAATGTTTTTGTGTTTTATCCGTTCCCACAGATGGTATGAAAACCAAAAAATACAAAACCGGAAAGTAATTTTCCCATAAGAAATAAAGTAAATTGAATTAATCCATTACATACCCCAAAATATATTAACTAAAAAATACATTTTATACATAGTAATACTCTTAAGTACCTTACCTTTATTGAGGACTCTTGTTGACATATGGAAGACAGTGAGGAAGGGGGAAGGAGGAGAGGTGTTAATGTTTGGAAGGGGAGTCCCCTTCCATTATAACATCAGGCAGTGATGAATTTTCTGGGGTACTCTCTTACATTTTGCAGGCATACCACTAGGATCTGGTTGTGGTTCACTGCTTGCTTGTCTTACTAAGAATCTGTCTATAGACACTTGTTTTCCTACGTTTTAACACTTGTCTGTATTGAGATATTACATTGTCTCACTATAAATGATCTCTTATTTTCCTCTATCATCATCCTCACAACATCCTCAATTTTAAACTATTTTATTTAGTTGAACATTACCACTGACTTTCTTGGAACCCATGTTGTGATATATAATAAAAACTTTCATGTTCAGAAACCAAAACAACACACAAAAACAATGAAATTCTTCACAAAGAATTCAAACGCGATCATCACTAGGCGGGAGACACTGATAAACTGAAGCGCCACGTGCTCAGTGGACCCGTACATGTATAAACAAACTCCGAAAACCGAGGCAAACAACAAGTACCGAATCTAATTTTTCGAAGAAATTGAGTATGAGAAGCGAAAAATATGAAAACAGGGGCATACGAAAACCGAGGTTCCACTGTAAGTATATAGGTTAATTTTTTGCTGTTTCTTATTTCATCACCTACTCACCTAGTTGTGTTTGACCTGTAAATGATACTGTGGGCATGAGCTGCATGGTGATGCTGAGAGCTCCTGTTACATGCAATACTCGTGTATTGCATATATACTGAGGCCCTCAATGCCATAGAAGAGGACCCACAATTTTTTTCCAAGATGGCATCAGTTTACTGGAGGATTGAGGAGGCAGATGTGAGAGAACTCAGTCTAACTTGGGACCTAAATACAACCCTGGTTGCACACCATGAAACAAATAATCCTGGTTGAGATGCATAGTTAAAGGATTAATGAGGAGGCAGATGTGAGAGAACTCAGTCTAACTTGGGACCTAAATACAACCCTGGTTGCACACCATGAGACAAATAATCCTGGTTGAGATGCATAGTTAAAGGATTAACAGGATTAAGCCTGTTGGTAGCTGCTTCTGTTAACTCTTCCAGAGAACAAAGAACACCACTAACTATACCACACCCAATTCCAACAGCCAGGTAATGACTCTAAAGCAGGGGTCTCCAAACTATGGCCTGCGGGCCACATCCGGCCCGCCACATAATTTCATCCGGCCCTCCAAACAAATCCCTGTGTGGTGGCCTTGAAAAAATAATTATCGTACAAATGGCATCGCAGAATTATTCAAAGCTGGGGCTGCTGACTGGTGGCGCTCAACCCGAGTCAGTTTTCCTCTCTCTCGATAGTGTGACGCACAGATACTAATACTGGTAGGTATGTGTTGTGCATTACAACCAATCAGTTGTGTATTACTGTATATTGTGGGGATGGAGGGCGAGTGGGGCTTCGCTGCTTCCGTTTCAGGGAGCACAAACACTGTACAATATTCTTTTCTCTGTACTTTGACAATGCCTTTATCTTAGTTATACAAAATAGCAATTTCATTTTTTATTCCTCCGGCCCGCATAAATATGGGAAATATATAATGTGGCCCTTACATTGAAAAGTTTGGAGACCCCTGCTCTAAAGAACAATGCTTGGGAGTCCTAAACCAGCAAATCCAATTGGTGAGGATGAGTCTTTATGGTTAATTTGAAATTTAAAAAATAGCCCAAAATTCATTATACTTCAGTGAAAAATGTAATAAAAAAATTGAACCCACTCTAATGATGCAATAAAACTTAACATATGGGTGATAAACTGAATAACCAACTACAGAATTACTTCTTTAGCTAATATTTTTTTCTCCTATAGTATAACCATAATGGTACAGTACCTTTAAACAAATTATTTAAATAGCCCACAAACAAAAAAGTTCTACAATCATTGCTCTACATTAAACAACTTGTACTCACCTTATGTGACTCGTACTCTAGAAAGCAGAAACCTCTGTTCTTTTTCTTATCGTCCGGAGAGCTGTAAATTATCACTTCAACCAGACCAGCTGTCAAGTAAACAATATACAAAAATGTATATATTATTTGACTATGTATAATAATGGTGAGTTATAATCATATATTTTCCATTATATATTCATCACAGTAATATCATGGTAAAACTTGGCAATACTATTTAGCTTGCTATTCATCATTAACTAAGCCTAATTAATTGGCACCTATATCAGGGGAATAAAAATGTGAACTGTGGAAACCAAACTGGCAGTACCACTGTAAAAAAAAAAAAAAAAAATGAAAAACAAAAACAAAACAAAAAAGGCTGAATGGAGTCATGTTAGTGTATGGTTTACAGGACCAAATTAGCCATCACTGCTATAAAATTCCATGCAAGCAACACCACTAGCAAATCAAGTATAAGAGAGCAATGCCATACCATATGACAATATAAAAAAATACTATATAATATATATATATATATATATATATATATATATATATATATATATATATATATATATATATATATATATATATATATATATATATATATATATATATATATTTAATATAGACACTGTAGTGTATATATATAAGTAAATGTTAATCAATTTTAAACTTATAAGCAATTGGCCAATTTCTTTTTAGCATATGGCAAGACATTGCAAAATGTAGTCGGGGTAATGACACGGATTCTGCACAAGAGGGGAAAAATAAGGAAGAAAAAAAAAGTGGCCAATGTGTCACCAGGCAACTGTAAAAAAAAAAAAAAATTACTGCCACAAAAACCTATGAAACCCTTTCAGCTGCTGCAGGTAAGGATGCCATAGCTTCAGCACAGCATCAAATAGTGCTACAACTAAATTAATCCATGGGAGATAAACTTAAGTATGTGTGGAATGGGGAATTCACAGAGGGAGCAGTGAGTATGATGCACCATCAAGCAACCATGTTTAGAGCCAGTTATATTGTGGAAATGTCTAGCTTTACAGTCTAAAATATAGAGGGGGATCACTTAAAACACATTCTTAGTGAAAGAAGCTGCCAAGTCAATGGTGACAGAACGCACAGCTAGGATTGACATACCCACAAGCCACTGACTACCCGTGACACGAAGGTCAACTTACGTGCGTGCTTTGCAAACTCCTCATATAATTCATGTCGCTCCCTGTTCTTGGGGATATTTCCTACGAACAATCGATGATTGTTGTATGAAATAGTGACCCCTAATTTTTTGCCGCGCTGAATTTCATATTCATTCAGCTGCAAAAGACATGATGATTCCTGTTTATGGGCATAAATTAAGTTTTACATGAGAATCTACTTGGAACGCTGAAATAGAACTCCATAGCCCTCGAGACAAGTAGATTCAGGAAAATTCTGAGGTATTCCTCTGAAGAAAAGGCACCAAAATATATGGTCAAAGGAATACCTCATGGTAATGAGAATGTACAAACAAACATTTGAGCGCTCTCACTTTACCTGTGCGTTTTGAAAATTCTTCCATAATTTCTTCTTTTGACTTTGATTTTGGGATGTTCCCCACAAACAGCCGCAGATTAGGAATGCTAATATTAACTTTCAGGGCAGCATTTTCCCTGACATTGTAATTATCAAGCTGTGAAAAAGAAAGAAATACCTCCTTGGCATCAGTGAAAACTGATTTGGGCCTTAATGTTTACTTGCAAATACTACAGCAAACTACAACTACTGTGTTGCATTCTCAAGAAACACTTCTCACAGAGAGAAGAGTTTGAGACAGTTCAGGTAGAGTGAGCAGTGCCAAGCCGATTAAATGCATCATATTGGTTGACGCATCAATATCAAATGCTACTGCTTTATTCTCTTATGATGTAATAATTTAGATAATTTTTCCAGTAAATTTTGGTATGAAACTTCTTGGGTCAGGATTGAAGGGTAATAAATGCCACGTTAGAGTGAATTAAAATTTAAGTGCAGCTCAATTGTTTATTGCACCATTACAATTAATGTTGTTATTACATGTACCAATAAGTAACACATTCAACCCCCGACAACATTCGTTCATTAATAGACGCACAAATATTAATTAAAGCACTTACCAGCGGCTTAAAATAAACACATACTTATACTTATCCTTAGTCAAGTTGAACATCCTGGATGGTGCCAATATTGAATTTAACTATAAACTTAAATAACAAATCAAGTGAATTTCTTTTATATTAAATAATCTATAATCAAAGCTCGATTGTTTAAAAACACCAGCAATGAATGTAATGAAATGCCTCTTTCTGGTAGAGCCCCGGTGACTCCTTTAAGCTATCTCACTGAGATGGCTTCTGAATACTGGGTCATATCAGTCGTAAGAGTCTTGTTTGCCCTACTGGGGACCAGAGCCACAACTTGGCCCCACCCACACACACAGGTGCAAGGAGCTGGGAATTCTTACTATCACCCACACCAGGAAAGTATTCAGAAAATCAGCAAAACCATACAGACATCTGCAAGGTTCATAGAGAACAAAGCATTGAAACGGTTCATTCAAAACTTGGTTCACTTGAAATTAACTTCAACCTCTTAGTACAAATGGCTGCCACCAAGCAACCTAGAACTCCCAGTTAGCAGCTAACTACCAAATCAGTCCAGAACTGATACACAAGGAACTGACGAACCCTGTATGGGGAAAGGAAGGGCCAAAAGGAAGAGTTCCATCACATTCAATGCTGATTTTCTGGGAAAACCCTTTGGAAGCTCCCTGAAACTAACCACAGAGAAAAAGGCAAACAATGGACGTACCAAGAAGAGATGGTACTAAGTCAAAGGAATACTGGGCCGAGAAACCTGGCCTAGGCAACACAAGACCGACTGGAACCAGGAACATTGACCAAATACTAGACTGTCAATGCCATGTTAACTTCCATTTCCCCTAAATCTGAATATCAGTCCCCCAGCATATAGTAAAAGAGAGCAGCTAAAGCTGCAATTTACAAACATTGAGGGCCCATGGGTAGACCACAGGTTGGCTAGCTTTAAAGACACTACAGACAACCTGAGAAATATGAGCCTTGATATAGGGAACTAGGGAAACAGGGTCAACCAACAATGTATCCACAACAGAGGAATGGGTGGCACACAGGTAACAGAGAAGCACTGCCACTGGTCACAAGAAATAATGCACCCTTACCTGGACCATCAAAATACAGTATCAATCAACAAAGGATCGTTAAGGAAGACAGCCAACTCATTCTTCCCCAGAAGAGAAGGAGAAACTAACAAAAACACCACCTTAATTTAAGAAAAATATCCTGGCCTGAAGGGATAACCGTGAACTGAGAGAAGAAAAGAAGCACCAAGAGACAAAGAGAAGTCATGAGACCAAGAGAGCTCATGAGGAGCATGAACCAGCTGGAGGTGAAAGAACAACTGAGACAACTTGTGAAATGGTGGCTAAGCTGAATCCAAGCCAAACCAGAACAAATTCAAGAGAACTACAAGAACAGACACTGAAGTGAAATGACGACAGACAGAAAATGGCAAAATGAGTGCCAATAACCTTCATACTATCGCTGCAAAGAGTGATGCAAGAAGACCACCAATAACCCAGCCACATGATCACCACACAATTTTTTTTTTAATTAGTTGATGATTGCCTCCTTAACCCTTCCGCTTCACAAATCATAGATGATTTTGGCCTAACTGACAGCACTGCATGAATCATATGTGTGTGCTCACCTAGCTGTGCTTGCGGGGGTTGAGCTTTGTCTCTTTGGTCCCGCCTCTCAACGGTCAATCAACTGGTGTACAGATTCCTGAGCCTACTGGGCTCTATCATATCTACATTTGAAACTGTGTATGGAGTCAGGCTTCACCACATCACATCCTAGTGCATTCCACTTACTTGTTAACTACTATGACACTGAAAAAATTACTTTAATGTCTCTGTGACTCGTTTGGGTACTAAGTTTCCACCTGTACTAAATGTGTGTGTGAATGTGTGTGTAATTACCTAAGTGTAGTTACAGGATGAGAGCTACGCTCGTGGTGTCCCGTCTTCCTAGCACTCTTTGTCATATAACGCTTTGAAACTACTGACGGTCTTTTTTTTTTTTTTTTTTTTTTGAGATATATACAAGAGTTGTAACATTCTTGTACAGCCACTAGTACGCGGAGCGTTTCGGGCAAGTCCCTAATCCTATGGTCCCTGGAATACGATCCCCTGCCGCGAAGAATCTTTTTTTCATCCAAGTACACATTTTACTGTTGCATTAAACAGAGGCTACAGTTAAGGAATTGCGCCCAGTAAATCCTCCCCGGCCAGGATACGAACCCATGACATAGCGCTCGCGGAACGCCAGGCGAGTGTCTTACCACTACACCACAGAGACTGCTAGTTGGCCTCCACCACCTTCTCATTTAACTTGTTCCAACCGTTTATCACTCTGTTTGCAACAGTGAATTTTTCTATATTCCTCTGGCAGCTTTGTTTAGTTAGTTTAAATCTATGATCTCTTGTTCTTGAAGTTCCGAGTGTCAGGAATTCTTCCCTATCAATTTTATCGATTCCTGTTACTATTTTGTACGTAGTGATCATATCACCTCTTTTTCTTCAATCTTCTAGTTTTTGCATATTTAATGCCCCTAACCTCTCTTCGTAGCTCTTGTCCCTCAGTTCTGGGAGCCACTTAGTGGCATGTCATTGCACCTTTTCCAGTTTGTTGATGTGCTTCTTAAGATATGGGCACCATACAACCACTGCATATTCTAGCTTTGGTCTAACAAAAGTCATGAACAATTTCTTTAGTATGTCTCCATCCATGTATTTAAAAGCATTTCTGAAGTTAGAAAGTGTAGCATAGGCTCCTCGCACAATGTTCTTAATGTGATCCTCAAGTGACAGTTTTCTATCTAGAACCATCCCTAGATCCCTTTCTTTGTCAGAATTGTCTAAAGATTTCTCACATAATTTATAGGCTGTGTGGGTTCTTTGTTCTCCAATTCCACATTCTATAACATGGCATTTATTCACATTAAATTCCATTTGCCAAGTGTTACTCCATATACTTATTTTGTCCAGGTCTTCTTGAAGGGTATGACAATCATCTAGGTTTCTTATCTTCCCTATTATCTTAGCAGCATCAGCAAACATGTTCATATAATTCTGTATTCCAACTGGTAGATCGTTTATGTAGATAATGAACATCATGTGCAAGAACTGAACCCTGAGGTACTCCACTCGTGACATTTCTCCAGTCAGATACATTACCTCTGATTACAGCCCTCAGTCAGGATATTTATCATCCATGTTAGAAACTTACCTATCACCCCTCCAATATGTTCCAGTTTCCAGAACAACCTCTTATGTGGAACTCTGTCGAAAGCCTTTATTAGGTCCAGATAGATGCAGTCAACCAAACCATCTCTTTCCTGTAAAATCTCTGTGGCTCGATCATAGAAACTAAGTTCATTACACAGGATCTTACAGATCGAAAACCATACTGTCTGTCTGATATTATGTCATTTTTCTCCAGGTGTTCTACCCATTTAGTTTTAATTATTTTTTCCAATATTTTGACTATTACACTTGTCAATGATACAGGTCTATAATTAAGGGGGTCTTCCCCGCTTCCACTTTTGTAGATTGGAACTATGTTAGCCCTTTTCAACACATCAGCTACAACTCCTGTACATAGAGATGCCTGAAAGATCAGGTGAAGTGGAATGCTGAGCTCAGATGCACTTTCTCTCAGAATCCATGGTGAAACTCCATCTGGGCCAACTGCTTTGCTCTTACTTAGCTCCTTTACCTTATTTTCCACTTCATCTCTAGACACCTCTATACGCTCTATGTTGTTCTCTGGGCTTCTTATTGTGTCTGGTTCTCTGAAGATTTCATTTTGTACAAACACAATTTTGGAACTTTTCGTTTAATGTTTCACAATTTTTTTTTCATTTTCCATGAAACTGTTTCACATATTCAACCTCTGGATATTATCCTTTACCTGCAATTTGTTGTTTATGAATTTGTAGAAGAGGCCCAGTTCTGTTTTACATTTATCTGCTATCCCTTTTTCAAAATTTCTTTCTGCCTCTCTCCATACTGACGTATAGTTGTTTCTCGCATCTTTGAATCGCTGGTATGTTTGGCCTCTTCCTATATTGATTCCATTTTTGTGTCTTTTGGTCTCTGGCCCTCTCACAATTTCTGTTGAACCAATCCTGTTTTCTGGCCCTGCATCTCTGTTTTGGTATGAATGTTTGTGTGCTTCCATCGCATATTTTGCTAA